TCCATTTGAAAAATCAAAGAAGCCGCTACTTTATAGTAGAAGCGACAACGCCGCTTCATCTAAAATATTTTAGGTGTGTAGGTCATATTGACTTATGCATACTGTGGAATTTTCAGGTTGATCCGTTGAATAGTTTGTCAGAAACGACTAATTAACGCTCATCATGAAAAGCCCTGTATAAACTCGTCGTTGCTGGCTGAAATTTTCATGGATAACACAGGCCAACAAAAAAAAATGTTTTAAAAAACTTTGTTTGCTTCAATAGCTGATTTTTCTAGATTTTTGTGTGCTGAATCACAATTTGGTCTTAGTTTTTTTGTTTCCCCCATAGTTTATGAGAAATTGACTTCCGTTATATAATTTAAAATCTGTACGGTTTATGGTAAAATTAACGCTATGTTAATTCACTATCATGGTTTTTATTTACAGTAGGTTACTTGAAATAATGATACAGTGTTGTAATAAAGGTTTCACTAGTCAGATGGAGTTGATAGCTTTTCCTGCGATGTGTCGCTTGTTGAGTTTCACGGTGAAGTGACCAACAGTAGTCTCCCATCATGTTGATGTTCCAGCGGCCCTGGTAACGTTTTTCTATTAATTTAATATTTTGGTGAAAACGCTCACCCTGCTCCTCACTAACATCTCCCAAATTTTCCGGAAAGTAATCGAGATGACTGTTCAAAAAGTGGACTTTCAGGATCATTAAATATCCTAGTTTTTTTAAATTATTCAACATGTTAGCTACAATGGTACGATATTCTGGGTCTTTTGCGTTTCCTAAGAATTTTGTAACAACTTGCTTGAATGACACTCATGCTGTTGCTCTCCCATGATGGTTTCAACTGCCAACAAGTTCTTCCATTTTAGTCTAGAACCGAGCAATTCAGCTTTTTTTTGTTAATTCAAGATCCCTAACTTAGTCGTTAATCTAATCTGAGTAAACAGTTCGGCTCTATATTTGCTGAACACGTTGGAACTCTTCATCACCTTGCTCATCTATATCTGACAGTACATTTCAGTGCCCTACTGGTCGAATAGCGGCAATTAGGTTAGAGTAGCTTATTACCTTCTTTATTTTTGAGTTATGGCCAGTAATATCAATACTACAAAAGTAGCAATCATCGGTATGGTTTCTAGGTTCTCTCCATACCATAGAAATAGCTTACTCAAAGGCTTTTTCCACCTTTTCTGACAATTTTCCAAGATCTTCAAGACAATCATAACATACCTTATGCGGAGCCCAAGATGTATCGTGATCACCAAGTTTAATTCCAAAATATGAGAAATAAACCTTTTTCACAAAGTCTGTAATATTTCTATGATGTTTTTCAATAACAAAATCACCACAAATATAACAGCAAAGTTCTTACAACCACGATTAGACATTTTAATGAGCACATGTACTAGAAACCAGAAAGTAAGGTTAGGTTGACAGTAAACAAAACATCAGCTGTGAACAGAACATTATAATTCCCCTTTTTCTGGACAGTAAATGTGTTTCAGCAGTGCTGCCAACTCTTCTACATCCAGCACAGATCATTTTACAATTTCATTTGTAGTATATAAAAGCTTTGTAATAGATCAGAAAATTTTATATATTGATATGCAAATGTGAAAAAATGATAGGTAAAACGGATTTAGCATCCTTAAAAACACTAAAAAAGTTTTTTCCTTGTTGGCCTGTGTAATCTAAAGAATGAAATCCATAATAATTAGCTAATCAGTTACTTGGACTGGTACAGATACTTTAATCTGTTTCACTGGTACGGCTAGGCAATTAGATAAGTTTACCGAATATGTCAATTCCATTCACCTGACAATAAAATTTATCACTGAAAGGAGGGTAGAAATATAATTTCATAACCTTGACTTGACTATTACAAAAATTAATAATAAACATAATAGTATGCTTCACAGATTACTTAATATGCCACTATCAGAAAGTGATTTTCAGAGAGATTAGAATTTCATCAACAACGGTTACAAGTTAGATATTATATCGACTCCATTCTTTTCAAAAAACTACAAAAACAAGGCAATGGCCAGGCCTATCCAAATTCAAGAAATGTCCGCTATAGGACATTGTTATATTTTGGTGAACCCACTAATAATATCGCACGTTTTATTAAAAAAGGAATGCTTGGATGTAGCACACAGAAAATAATAGTTTGGCAAAACTTTAGTATCGAAGAACTTGTGGTTCTTAGCTGTAACTTTATATTGGCCAAACGGGGGGAATTTTTCCCAACGAGCTTGAGAACATAGAAAAAGTTTCTAGAAGGAAAAGACTACTTCCACATCTGCAAAGCATCTTTCAACAGGAGAACATGAGTGTGACGTAGGTATTACATTCAAAAAAGAACAGTTTCAAACTCAAAAGAATTAAGTAACTCCCCGCTACTGAATATTTTTTCAAATATGAAAACTGGTACATGAGCTCAGGTAATTTCATTCATTACAGGTTTATTCAAATGATATTTGGATAGGTTCCTCTTTTTTCAGGTTGATATTTGATGATTTATTCCCAAACTCAGGTAGACATTCAACAATAATTGATCGAATGTGTGTGACTGATGACTTGTTTATTTCGTGATAATTCATGATCACTTTTGTAAAATTTGAAAACTGAGTTATATCGGGAATTTTCAGGTAAGATAGAAGGACAGATAGTTAAACGAACCAAGGTGCCAATCATACAATTCAACACTGAAGATTATAGTGATTGTCAAACTTATAAATTCAAGAGTGGAAACCTACATAAATCAAGTTTCTCGTTTAGGGGTATATATTTCAGGTTTTTAATTGATTAGTTAATTTCCATGGCTTCCAACTAATTCATTTTTTTTCTCTTCATCACATATGTGTAGGATTTTAAGGGTACCTTTAGTTATCTTGTGTTTTAATTCCTGAAGATGTTCATACATTGTAGATTTTTTGGTCCAAACAGACGTTTTCACGTCAAGGCGTTCTGAGAGCGCCGGTTCCGACACATTTATTTTTTTTGTAGAAAACCGCTGCCTGAGTTTTCATGGCTTTGAAATGAACCTTGTCATTTTCACCCCAATTCTAAATCACATCTAGATCCTCATTAACATACGCAGCCTCCTGCTGCCGGTGAAGATATGCATCTGCAGTCGATGTCTTGGAATCCAAATGGAATGACGAGACAAGTGTGCTGTCGTCAGCAAAGCAATATATTGGATATTTTCCTTCAATAATTCATTGATATACAATGAAAAGAGAGTTGGAGACAATATGGATCCCCGGGAACCACCAGCATTGATTTATTACCAAAATTGACACTCTGATTGATTCGTTCGGTGACCATCCAAAATCTTTTTATCAATGAAATTATTCTAAAGTCAAAAACCTATTAAAACTCTCAAGTGAATCGTATTCCTTGTTTTATTGGTATTGTGGAAGTGTCTCCTATCCCGGTATAATTAAGTTAGTCTACAGTTACACAGTTACAGGTGTTGAAAAGGGGTACAGGATTTCTGGAAATTTCTGTAAATGGCGTCCAAACAAGAACTTCAATTTGGTGACCCTTTCCAGCACTTATTATTGATCTTCTATAAAAGATCAAGAACCGACCTGCGCCTTTACTCTGCAGATTCAAAGCTAGTCGTTCCAACAAGTAACTTTATCTTGCTCTCAATTGAAAAACCGTAAGGTAACTTCACAAGGTAAAACACAGATACTTAAAATGTAGGTACTTCATATTGTAAAATCATATATAAAGCATTGAATAAAGCATTTCACGATAAAGTTTTTCTTGAATTAGTTAGACTCATGTTTAGCTCTTCTCCATCAGTTCATTCAGTTAAAATATTCAGGATATGTTGCATGTCTCCTTTTACTATGATATTATATTAATCCTGGACTGGACAAATCGTCTGCATAGCCCAGTACTATGTGTCCATTGTAGTCCAAAAGATGTAGTAATTCATCAATTTTGAGGTTCTTCAGCATTGGGGATAAAACTCCCTCTGAGAATAACCTCTTGGATCAAGGTTTGTTCTGTGGAAGTCACTTAGTCAGTTCTTAGTGCTGAGTTGAAAAGGATATAAATGATTTGAAATACTGATTTTTATTGTGTTGAACCCATTTCGAACTGATTATTTGATATTCGACAATCATCAAAATTCTTGACATTGAAAAAATCAGCTCGGTCTTTTCACAGATAGCGTATTTGCTCTCCTGAGAAAACTCTCCACTTCCACGGGTGTAATGAAGCATATGTGAAATCTTCAATTTGATAGAAATTATTATACTTCAAATTCCATGCACTAACAGTGATGGGGTGGTGTTTTAAATAAATTATATAGCAACAGTTTATAAATCATTATAGACAATTTATTCAAAACGATACACTTCTCATTCCATTACAGTTTTAAGAAACATATCTGTCTGCATGAAGTTGGTACCTTCAATTAACTATGGCATTCAATGTTTTATGAAGTTCGTTATAGATTCATGAAAAACTTGCACGGCATGTATTTCACTAGAATGTGGTTTCTTGCTCTAGACTCCTTTCCACAGTGATAAGTTGATGGATGGCAGTTCACCACAATTCCCTAAAGGATTACTGAAATGAAAAACTAATGAAAGTGTTATCAATATTTCAATATCAATATCTGTATATCACAGCAACACAAGAAGCAAAAACGTAGCAAGGACAAACTGGACATTGACTTGATGGTACAGAAATTGAAAAAGGTGTACCACAAGTGAATGTGCTGGGTCCATTACTTTTCATCATTGGGATTCACATATAGAAATGAATATGTGTGACGTTCATGCATGATACTAAATCAAAATTTTTTAATGATACACACAAACTTTTCTGCAGTTGCTGTATTTCTCGATATTGAAGGAGCATTTGACATGAATTTATAGAATCGTCTCTGGCTAGGAAAGGTATAGAATCGGCCATAACTTGCTGAATCTATGCCACGCTGGTGAACAGAACTGCAACTACGACTCTTCGAAGCGAGGCCATCAGGTTCAGGGTCACCAACGGCTACCCTCGAGGTGGCGTACTACCTTCCCTTCTGTGATCGCTCCTGATGGGTAGTCTGCTTGATGCCCTCGACAAAAAAAAAGTAGATCTGCAAGCTTATACAGATGACCTTGTCATCTTGGC